TTTGATGCGGAGGAGCCGTTTTATGAATGTATCGTGTGGGAGGTGACAGAATGGAGCATACAAACACTGCTTACACAAATTCTAAATGGTTAGTGTGAGTGTGGGTGCATGTGTGTGTGTCTATGCCTGTCTGTGTGTGTGTGTGTGTGTGTGTGTGTGTGTGTGTGTGTGAACCACGTTTACCTGCCTGTGGCGAAAGCTATTTCACTTCAGGTGACGATTAGATTAATAGGAGTCGTAAAAGACAGGACCCTTCACTCCAAGGACAAAGTAATGACTTACTCTTTTTACCCAGTATAGCTCGTCGCTTAAAGTGGAAAATATTAAAAGTTGTAAAATATTCCTGAAATGTCAAATTACTCAATACTAAAATAAGAGGTCTTATAGGATATAGAGATGTTTTTTAACAGAAGACAATGGAAACAACAGCAGAGGAAACATTTACATTTAAATATTACGCTTAAAGCCATCTTCTGATAGCTCTAAGCCATCACAATATAGCTCTAAGCTCTAGCAAACCAGATTTTGTCACTATGAATAGATTGTTTATGTGAATCTGTGACCTAAAATTAATTCCTTGTGTATTTTTGGGAGGCATTACAGGTGCTGAGTAATAATGGACTGACTCATTCACAACACTGGTGTAAATTCCCTTTTCTTAAATGGCAGAAATATATCTTTTGGGAAGAGTTCAAAGGGGGAGGGGGGTGCCAGAATGATCTTCAACTGATTTTCACTAAACATCTGTAACCCCCCCCCCCCCAAAAAAAAAGCTCTTTGTTGCATTTGACAAATCCTGTGCACAGCTAGAAGCCAAATTCCTAAAAATGAGATGCATTGTAGTTGTGCGGAGAAGCCTGGGATTGTTTTTGGAGAATGAGCGTTTGAACAGACTCTGGTAGGAAACCCGTTCTGATTTAGATTACTGAAGCTCTGTCTGGTGGCAGGTTTGTGTGGTCTCACAAGACGGATTCAGTCTCTTTAAACTGCCTCTAAACCACTATACCCCCTTCATTCAACAGGTTGCACCATCCTCAACATCTCTGAAAACTTCCCAAAACACCAGGACATCAGTGAAAGTCGATTGTGTGTCCACTCTGTCTTCTTCATCTTCATCACGACCTCCATATCAAGAGGACATCTGACTACATCAACCTCACATGCTGATAGGCAGAGAGAGAGAAACAGGTGATTGGTTGAGCTGTCGGCTGTCATATCGGCAGGGTGTATCTTTGTGACACTGCAACACACACACACACACACACACACACACACACACACACACACACACA